TCATTTAGCAAAATTACAATAGCAGGTTCCATCCTAGGGCCTATGGCCTCACTATTTTTCATTGACCCTATATCAGAATGACATGCCCTGGTTCTGGGGAGGAAATGGAACAGCAGTGAGATGCAAAATAACATGATCTGATCCAAAGACTCAGAATACTCCAGTGACAAGTCACTCAAAGAGAGAAAGGATGGGCACTCTGGTCTCAAGCAAAATCCATCTTGTCTCTTGGAGGCGTGATTCTCATCAAGCCTGAGATTCCAGAAAGTTTGCATGCACTGATATGATAAGAAAGCAATTTATAACTGAAGTCTCCACCCTGCAATTTTTACTCAGCTGGCGTTAGAAAGCTAGCCCTGTGGCGTAACAAATGTGTGAACGTGTTGGCATGTGAGGGGAAGGAGCAATCCACTGCTGTTTAAATACTTACAGGGATTACTTGCCATCTCTTAAAACCAGTTATATAAAAACACCTTGTAAATTTACTTTCTGAACAGCTCTTGCAAGAATGCTCCTTTGGTGATGGGCCAGAAAGTGACTGGCAGGAATTTAAATGACAACAGAAACAGACAAATTGGGGATAAAGGTATGAGTTGGTTTAGGTAGTGTGAATAGAGAAATTAAAATCTGGGGAATAGGAAGAAAAAGAAGGTGAGGGCAATAGCTCTGGCTGTATAATTAATTTAGACACCAAATGGGGGTGTCTCTCCTGTGTGTGGAATGCTGTGTCTTTTTGGCAGGAATCAGACACCTTTGGACCGTGACACCTCTTGCCTTCAGTGGAGAGAAGGCAGATTGGTGTAGAGCCCGAAAACCATTGTATATTAAGAACAATGAAGAGAGGTGGGTACTGGATGGGGGAAAAGAGGGTCACACAGTTATACATAATTAGATAGAAGTTTGAAGACATATGCACGAACTTATTCTGGACTGCAATGTTCCTAGTGGCTTGACTGAGGCCACATAAGGGAATGTTTCTTAACTAAGTTTCCCTTGAGGATCTAGTGGCAGCATCACCATTTGGGGCTGTTTGAGGCACATCGGCATTCCATAGCATGTTCCAGCGGAAGATCCTTAACTTTCCTTCTCATTTAGGTTTCAGAGCTTCAACGAGAAGAACATCCCCCTCTCTTATGTGGCTTAGACAAAAGCTCTTCTGTAGAGATGGGTGACAATCCACCCAAATTTTGTATTCTTCCTCACACAGCTAGAGTGTCTACCAGGGGAAAGTTGCCCAGGCTGCCACTCTGTCTTTCAGTCTCCCTTATAGGTGTCATGTAGTCAGATGACACTTGCCACCAGTGGAATAAGACCAAGAGAGAGGCAACTCACTTCTGGGTTGGGGCTTTTAGGAGAGAGGGATCCATTCCCTACCTGCTAGAGGGTAAAGAAGCTTTTGAGGTCTAAGAGATGGAGCTCCAGATGGAGAGAGCTGGTCCCTAAGTCACATGAATACAACTACACACTAGTGAGGAACAGCAGCTCTGGGCTGCTGTGGAAGGGGTCAGCTTTTAAGGCATTAAGCTGTTCAGACTTGGGGGCTTGTTATAGCAGCTGTGATGGCTAATCTTGGTTGTCAGTTTGACTGGATCTGGAATAAAGCAAAATGCATATTTCTGGGTGCTCCTGTAAGGGATTTTCTTGATTAGATTGTTTAAAATTGGAAATCCTACTCTAAATGTGGACAGCACCTTTTGGTGGAAGCTCAGATAAAAGGACATGGAAGAAGGAAGCTTGCTTTTTGCCTGCCTGCCTTCACTCTCTCTGGCGAGTCGATTTATCTTGTCGTAGCATTCTCTTACCGATATTAGAACCAACTTCTTTGGGTTCCAATGAAGACTGAAGACCAGCAGATCTCCAGGAATCTTTGAGGCCATCAGCACCAGACTAGGACTGCTGAGACATCCAGCCTCATAGACTGAGCAACTATTGGATTCTCAACCCCTCCAGTGTAACAGAGCAATTTTTGGACTATTCAGACCCTGTCCTCTAAGTGAATCTAATGAATCCCCTTTACACACACACACACACACACACACAGACACACACACACAGATACACACACATTCTATCAGTTCTTTAGAGAACCCTGACTAACAGAGCAGCTAGCTTAATTCTTTCATTGGGACTGATGGTGGGTGCTCCTCCCTAGGTTTTGGAAATCTCTTTCTGTGAACTATATAATCTTATCAGTTAGTATGCATCAGGTCTACACTCAGTAATTTATATTTAATCCTCATAATAACTTTGAAATAAGCAACAATTTCCACAGAATGAAGATGAAGAAATGGATTTAGAAAGGTTAAGTAACTTGCTCAAGTTCACACAGTAAACACATGACTGGATCAGAATTTGACTGGAATCTATACAAAGGAACCATTAAATTCCAAGCCTAGGGCTCAAAGAAGAGGGACCTCATTCAGACCAGCTTTAGGGGAGGAGCTGCATGCAGAGGTCTTTCTGTTTTATGTCATCTTGGAATTTCATAGAATGATGTGTCTATTGCTGTCTTCTGAGGACATAAGATGACTTGCTTTGTTGGGTTCAGAAATTAAAACTTGAGTCCTGCAGAGAAAGGAAAATGTAGGAAGAAATGCAATTTCAGTGTAAGCTTTGCAACTTATCTCACAAGGGAACTCACCCTCAATCCCTTTACTGGGCAGGAGGTGCAGCTCTCAGCTAGAAAGTGACTCTGGCTGCAGAGGACCTTACACAGAACCTAGATCCCTGGGCCAACCCTAAGCTTCACTGTTGACCTCCAGTCTGTGAGAACTGCTGTCTCTGAGCACTGAATTCTATCAGACTATGGAGCTTTATACAGTTAGTGTAGCATGCATCTTGGACCTCAAGAGAACAGCTCAAAAGATAGGAGTCCCTTCCTCTGTGTGTGTGTGCACACGCCTGTGCACGCGCAGGTGCATGTTCATGAGGGTGCATGTGCAATTATGTGCATTTGAAGGCTAGAGGTCAACCTCAGGTGTTGTTCCTCAGGTGCTGTCTACCTTGGTTTTGTCAATACTTCTTGAATTCATTTTTATTGTGTATGTGTGGCCATGATGAAGGTGTGGAGGTCAGACAACAACTTTGTGGACTCAGTTCTTTCCTTTTACTTTTCTGTGGGCTACAAGGATCAAACTCAGGCTTATGTGATAAGTACCTTTACCCACCAAGCCATCTTGCTAGCCACACATTTTTTGTTGTTGTTGTTTTTTTTCTTTTCTTGGTTTTTTTTTTTTTTTTGAGATGGTTTCCCTGTAGCCCCAGGTAGCCTTGAACTCACTATGCAGACCAGGCTAGTCTTAAATTCACAGAGATTCTCCTACCTCTGCCTCCTGGGTGCTAAGATTAAAGGCTTGCCCCACTATGCCCTGCATACCTGGTTTATTTTAAAACATGGGTTCCAGGGATCAAACTCCGGCCCTCATTTACTGACTGAGCTATCTCCTTAGTCCCAAGAAAGGGACTCTTTGTTACCAGCCCTTAACTGATAGCTGGAGGGCTCTCATTTTAGGCATCTGGATTTGCCTTTGTGCGGTCTGGCTCATGGTTGCAACAGGCACTTTAAGAATTCCCACGTACCTATGGCTGAACCCAACTAAAACTCTCTAGAGTGCTCTTCAGCTTCTGGGTGAGGCACAAAAGCCCCGTATTTAATAAGATTCTCACGTGCAGGAACATTTGAGACTAGATGCTTCAGAAGATGGTAGCAAATGTTCTATAAGGATTGAGTCTGGGTGTGGACATGTACAGTCAATGGGGTGTTGCTGGGCATCTCTCCAATGAGGGAACATGTGCATCTATTCCATTTACTCTGTTTGGAGCTCTCTCCTAGGAGCTGGAGACAAACTTTCCAGAAGCTTCCAGTCTACTCTAGGAGGTAAATCTACATTGATTATGTGGCAGAGCAAATTCTTCCTGTATTGCGCCCTGACATATGCAGCCAGGCTGCACCATTGAATGAAAACTAGTTAGATATCTGGTTATGGGCTGGGGGCTGTGATGATATAAACAATCTTCTATGGGGTTATCAGTCTTGCATGGACATTAGTATCACTGGGAGAATAAACAAATGAGCAACAATATGACAGGCCAGACCCCAGACTCATTCAACCAGGGTCTCCAGGAGTTAAAGAGTTTCTTCAGGTTTTAGTTTCAGTTCAGTCTCCCTCCTGGGCATGTATCTTGAGAGATAGGAGGGTGGATGTGTTTGGTAGACATCTACCACCTGTGAGGTTTCACTCAGTGTGGGGAAATCGGCCTGTAAATACTTCTGTTATTCAGGCTAACCTAAAACCTGCCATAAAGCACAACATCAAATGACGCAAACAGAGGACAGTGTGCCGCACCAATGAAGAGGAAACACACAGCCAAATGAACCAATGAGGATCGGGCGGGGGTGTATAAAAGAAAGCCCTAACGGCACAATAAATGAGCTTGCTTGCTAACCCCGAGTGAGTCTCCTGAAGTCTGTGCCATTGACTTGGCGTCTACTCATCCCCTGCCCCCAACGGAGAGTCCTCAAGTAGCTAGCCCACTAAGGCAGGCAACAACAACTCAGATTCCATTAAGAGGTACCAACTTAGCTCTCTGTGCCTGGTTCAACTTTTTATTTTTAAAGGAGGAAAGGTTTATTTGTTTATTTGTTTATTTCTGTGAGCTTTTCTTTTCCTTTGAGACAACGCCTCATGTAGCTTCGGCTGGCCTTGGATTCCCTATGTAGCTGAGGTTGACCTTGAATTTCTGATTGCCCTGCCTCCTCTTCCTGAGTACTGGGATGTGCCTGGAAGTCCAGTTTATGCTGTGCTATGGTGTGAACCCAGGTCCAACTGTTTATTTCAGCTATTTTGTCTACTTCGTCTGCTAGTGTGTCTTATTGTGATTATAAGAACTTGGCACACTTTGTGTCTGAGTAAGGCTTGAGGGATGTGGCCCTGTCCGCTGACCTTAAAATGAGACAAACCAGATTTGCCAGGAGCAGCGTGGAGGGGCTCACAGAAAGTCCTGGATAAAATAGTCTGTCTTCAAACCATCAGTTCCTATGTGTTTGTGGAAGGCGCTCAGGAAGTATTAGGTGTTGGAATGAAGAGAAAGAGGTGTGAAGCCGTTCTACCAGCCACCCACAGGTAAGATGTTAACGATGCTGGTTGAGAGCAAGTGTCGGTTCCAAACGAGATGCATGAAGCCTGAGATGGTGATTTTCCATGGAAACTTATTTTTCCGTTCTGGGATTCTGCTGCTGGCCTGGGACAGCAATTTAATATCAGGGCCTGCGAGCTTATACCAGATTTCTTTTCTTTCTTTTTTGCTCAGGACTTCGTTAGAGTCCAGCCTAAACCTAGGGGCAGAGGGGCTGAGTTGGAACTGAGGGCTTTCCCATTCTTCATTGTTCACAACTTGCTCCTCACGCGGGTCCACCTCAGCCTGGGTGGTCTCATCTTGCACTGCGCAGCTGCAGCCATTCAGCCAGCTCCCAGCCCCAGCCTCTGACGCAATCAAACACGTGAACACTGGCCAAGAGCTGGCAGCTGGCCACGGCTGTTATTTTTTCTTTTTTCTGTGTGGTGTTTGCACTTTTATGCCTTAGCTACTACCTTTGGGGAGCTTAGTGGAGGCAGAGTGTTTGAGATTTATTTTCAAACCAAAGAAAGGATTGCAAGAAGCAAGTGGTACCCAGGCTTTCATGTGACTCTGGGTACAAGATCGTGGCAGTTTGTGTGTGTGTGTGTGTGTGTGTGTGTGTGTGTGTGTGTGTGGATTTATAGTTAAAGATACCTGTCTTGTTATTTTTTAAATATATTTTTAAATATATTTTATACTTAGAATAATTTCAAATCTGAAACAAGGATACACGTGTGCTATGCTTCTTTCATGTTCTAGCTAACTGCTTCTAGTGAACTCAAACTTGAAAGTCCCACCCAGGCTAGAGACAATCTCGTTTTGATGAACTGAACTGGATCTAGTGTTGCTAGATCTCTGTCTGTGACTTGTCTTTATTATACATTTCCCTTATTCGTGGAGGATGTGCAGGTGTGGAAGGCGGAACTGAAGAAATAGCTATTGGTTGAGTGGTCTGTGTGCTCTGAGCACGTTTAACAGTCAGAAGCAGCTAATTCTTACAACAGTCTTACCAGGAACCATTCCTATCTTACAAGATAGAAGGCTCAAGGAGATTTAGCAACTGGACCAAGGATACAGTATAAGGATACCAGGAACAGAGCCCTGGCTACTGCGATGCTAAAGCTCATCAGTTACCCCTGTCATCACTGGCCTCCTGGTTCTATCAGATTCACAAGCCAGCATGCTAACCTAAAAGTCTTTTTGTACGGGATTGCTTTAAATCAGTATGACATATCATCTGTCTCACCACTGTATTTACAGAACCTGGAACAGAGCCTGAGATATCAGAGATGCCCAGTAAATATTTTCTAAATGTGTGAACACTTTCCTTTCAATCTGAATTCTTCCAGTAATAGCATTCCTGAAATATGCAAGCTTTCATCTCCATTATGAATTTTTTTGGTGTTGAATTTGGAAGGCTCTTCTCTACTTTCTGAATTATGCTTTGGAGGAAATAAGAGGCCCCATTATTGGGTTTTAACTGGGGCAGTAGACTGTCAGGAACCTAGGTGTTTGCTGATGCCCCTCCAGAAACCAACTACTGAGCAAATCATGTGGGGGAATACAGTTAGTGTCTTATCTGATTTGAAAGTCTCACTTTTGTATTCAGAGGCAAACAGGTGAAGTCCTGGTACCTTTACACTTAGTAAGCTCTGTTTAACATAAAGCCCATTTAAAAAGACACTGTGTGTGCTGGCAGTCTGTGTTGGAGGCCAGCTTGTCAGGAGGCAGGATTTTCCCATCTTATTTTATGGAAATGCGGTATACCATATGTCTCAAGGGGTGAGAAATCTGTGATGCCATCAAATGCCTAAACTAGATTGAGTTTGGCATCGAGGCCTGGCACAGGAGTGTTTGCTTATGCCAAAGGAGCTTCACTTCATGGAAGGCAGGCGGAGGGAGGTGGGAGAGCAATTTAAATTATAGTTTCTATGAAGCGAAAGAATCCATCCTTTTTCAGCATTTTTCTTTTGGGTGTTCTTATGAAATAGGAAAAAGTTGTATTGCTAAAGATACTTCTGAAATTCATTAAGATCCCTAGTGGACTAGCTCTCTCTCTCTCTCTCTCTCTCTCTCTCTCTCTCTCTCTCTCTCTCTCTCCTCATCTCATGTAGCCCACACTGGCCCCAAATGCACTATGTAGCAAAGGATGACCTTGAACTTAAAAGAAAATCTTATTTATTTTCATGGTTTGACAGTTTTATACATTTATTTTTAATTTTGTTTGTGTCTGTCTGTCTGTCTGTGTCTGTATCTGTATCTGTGTAGGCATGTATAAGTGAGGGTGGGTGCCCTCAGAGGCCAGAGGAGTTGGAGCCCGTGGAGCTGGAATTACAAGTGGTTACAGGTCTCTAGCAGTGTGGGTGCTGGGAACTGAATTGGGGTCTTCTGCAAGAGGAGTGTGCACTCTTAACTGTTGAACCATCACTAGGAAGATAAAATGACATGACTTGGAGGTTGTTTCTGCCTCACATGGACTATGTGGCTCAAGAAAAGTGGATAATTGTTAAAATTATTTTCCTTTGCAGTTACAGGAAATACGTGTGTTTCTATCCCTGTGGTGATTCTCAGTTAACTGGGTATTTCTAAGCATTTTTTTTCAACAAGCTTGGAAAACCTAGCAAGTAATATTTTTTTTTTTCTGCACTGTAGAGAAAAGATCAAAGAACTAGAAACGAAAGTCTGATACAGAGTTCCAACTTCTTTAGCCTGAGCTAAAAATACACTCCTGTCATATTTTGCAGTGTGTATTTATTTGAGAGTCTTGCCAGACTGTTTAAAAAAGGATATCGGCAACACACTGAAATTCAGCATTCCTTTTTCAGTTCTCCCCTGTCCAGCCCAGACTTCCTTTCCTGATGCTGAGCCCCAGCTCCCCTCTTCTTTGTATGTATGCCGATTCTCAGTGGCGTCAGTATTCCTTTATGATGTCCCCCTTGGTGCACACCTTTGCTCTGGGTGTGTACGGGTTACGTGTTCCCAAAGGCTAATTGTGCATTGAGTGAGGCTGCACCAGTAGCTTGTTTCTTGCATGTTTCACAGACTTATATGATCTGTATGAAGGATGCTTTCTTTCTTACTCCAAAATATTACCTTTCCTCTCTCTCCAAATTTCCTTTTTAAAGTTATTGATGTGTTTTGGGGCCATAAATATTTTTTCATTGATACAGTAGATGCCATTACCATTGATTTTTTTTTCAAAATTGAGTGATGGTGTTTTCCAGTTTCCAGACTTGAAGTAGTACTTGACATAATATGATATATATATTATATATATTATATATTTATTTATTATTTTTATTTTATGTGTATGCATGTATTGCCTACATGTAGATAAGTGCACCTGTGATGTGCAATGCCTGCGGAAGACAGAAGAGGCTGTCGGATCCCCTGGAATTGGAGTTACAGACAGTTGTTAGCTGCTATGTGGGTGCTGGGATTCGAATTCCAGTCTTCTGCAAGAACAGCCAGTGTTCTTAACCGCTGAGCCATCTCTCCAGCCCCAATACAATATATTTTTTAAAGTCCTGTACAATTTAGAACTTTCCTAATTCATTCTCTGCTTTTCTTCATTTGCATTTAATGTAATTTATTTTCTATATTTGATGACAGATAAAGGTGTTGCATATTACTTAGGCACATTACTCCACATGCCAAGTTACTTTATTATTAAAAATAATCACATACATTTATATAGAAAGTACAGTTTTGGGGGTCTTGGGAGCTGGCTCAGCAGTTAAGAGCACTGGCTGGTCTCATAGAGGACCAGTGTTCGATTCCCAGTACATGGCAGCTAACAACTGTCTGCCATTCTAGTTCCAGGGGAATCTGATGCCCTCTTCTGACCTCCATGGGCATTTCACGACACAGGTGTGCCTACATGCAGGCAATACACTCACACACATAAAATAAAAAAATAAAATATTAAAAAATGTATGATTTTCATATGATTTTTATCTACAGTATCCAGACCTTCTTTTGCAGGCTGGGGAGTGACACTGAGAGAGAACTGACTAATTAGTGGTAGGGCTTCACGTCAAGCTACATCTCCTTAACTTTAGAGTATTTTCTTTTCTCAACATACCACAGTGCTTTTATCTGAGAGTCAGACTATATTTATATCTAGGTAAAAATAAATGAGTTTACTGGAGGACTGGGAAACCAAGATCACTGATTTTTCTGAGATTTCCTCTTTTATAAAATCCAACATATATTTTGTGCTCACATATGACGTATGATGCGAGGAAAGAAGCGGTTATTTTCTTGAGGAGACATTGCAATGTCTCTTCAGTTTTCATATAAGCAGTTAATCTCTTCTCCACCTTTCTTTTGTTTAGATAGATAAAAAAACCAGAGGAAATATAGCCTGTGACGTCCTGTGATCTTGTAACTTTTGGGGACTTGTTTTCCTTGTTAAATATACTACAAAAGTGGGTGACTGTGAGGATCTAGAACAACACATAAAATAAGATGTCACGTGCTGTAAATGTGACATTTGCTATTAGGATTTGGTCGGGTGAGGTGCTACATGCCTTTGACTCCAGCACTCAGGAGGTAGAGGCCGGTGGATTTTTGTGAGACTGAGCCCAAGCCTGGTGTACATAGTGGGTTCCAGGTCAGGTGGAGCTACAGGGAGAACTTGAATCAAACAAAAACAGAGCAAAACAAAAAAATTTATTCCCATTGCTTCATGTTCTGGGGATCCACTTACAAGGGTTATGAGATTAATACCTCTGTGCTAATCTGAGAGCAATTGCTTGTGCTGCTGTTGTTCAAATGCCACTCCAAAGCTTTTGAAAGTCTTCGGTTTACAGGGATCAAAGAGGCCTTTTTTTTTTTTTTTTTTTTTTTTTTTTTTTCTGAGTTATTCAATTAGGTGACTAAATTACTTAAAAGTGTTAACTACATTTTAGTTCAAATCAAGAAACTAAGCTCAGAGAGATAGTGAATTGAATCAAAACAGAGCAAGGTAAATGCTAGAGAAACGGAAAGGGAACTTAAGTCT